TCACTAAAGTGGCCCTTGACAAGACTTGGAAAAGCCCCTGCTTGACGCTGGGGGGGCTGTTGGGGGTCCTATCCACACATTTTGTCTGTGGATCCAGGGTCAGGTGCCGGTCTCCCTGGGTGCCTAAATGGGGTTCTGAGATTACTTATTGGACCCTCTCTTGGCAAAGATAACTACAATATTTGTGTGTGTGTGTGTGTGTGTGTGTGTGTGTGTGTGTGTGTGTGTGATTTTTCAAATATAGGTGAGTCCAGCCTGGCTGGGAGAGTGTTGGTGTTAGAAATCAGGCCCGGAAGCCAACCTTGGTAATTTAGATTTGGGATAGAAAATCAGAGGGTCTCTGGGCTTAGTTGCTGGTAGGTGGAAACTCCTCCTATCCACCTGCAAGGGTCCCAGGACTAGGGATGGGCAGAGACCTTTAAAGTATGGTGGTTAGAGAGTTGCTTTTTGTTTTGTTGATGTACTTGTTAAAGAAATTGATATTATTCTGATTTGTTCACTAGGGATGCAAGTATTCTTCAGACCTAGAGAGATGAATGGGGAGTCTGGGTGCAGAAGAGGTTTCTGTGAACCCTTCTCCTCACCCTGTGAGGGCCCTCAGCTTTCACAGTCTAGGACGCAGTTCCCTTCAGCTCCATCCTCAGTCTCCCAGCTTAGTAAATTCAGTGGTTACTGGCAGGAAGTCCCTTCAGAAACTCCAGCTCCCTCAGGTTTCCCAGATCCTCATTTTGGTCCCACTGCCAGCAACCCTAGCAGGTGGCTGAATGAGCAAGTTTAAACCGAGAGAGCCTGCCAGAGCTATAGGGAGGTGGGGGAAATGGGGTTCCTCCTCACACTTTACCCATTATCCCCCTTTTCTGGCCCCAGGAGGTATGGGAGGTTGGGAGGGGCCGGAATATCATCTGGCTGCATCTTTTATGGTTCCTCATTGCCCTTCATTCGGAAATGAAACGCCTTTGATCTTTTTCTCAGGTTGTAAACGGAATTGCCCATCATTAAATATCCGGGGCCCCATCTGCTTGGTCTCCCAGCATTTTTCTTTACAGCTGTTTCTCTCTCTTTTTACCATTGAATTTTTCTAAAAGGACTTTTATGACCACCCCCCTTCACACCCAGCCGCCTCTCCCTCTTCCTTTTGCTGAGAGGTGCCTTGGAAAATATCTAGATATTCGTTTGATCGAAAACTAAAGGCTGCAAGGAGCACGGAGTTACCGATTGGGGTTTTGTTTCTTTTTTTTAAAAAAAAAAAAGTCCTGGGGGGAGGGGAGGGGCGCGAGGGCACCCAGAAGGGCCTGATTCTGACTACGCCGCAGCCTCAGGATGACCCTTCCTCCTTTTGTGCTTAGCTAATGTTTACATCTCATAATTCATGCGCCGCCGAGTTGCGCAGCGGCCCCAAGGTTCGCGTCCCTTTGCTGGACCGGCAGCTTCTATTTCTCTCTAATAGAAGAGGAAGAGAGTTGAAAACCTTGTAATCCCAGGAATGGAATCGCAGTGACTTTTCCTGCTCCCAGACCTCAGAACTTGAACGAAACGAAATAAAATCGAAGCATTCAAACCACACGCCAAAAGGAGGACGCGTGGAAAGTAGGAGAACTGGAAAATTTCTGGGCCAAGAAGATCTATCTGTCTTCTGTATATACCCTGTAGATCCGAATTTGTGTAAGGAATTTTGTGGTCACAAATTCGTATCTAGGGGAATATGTAGTTGACATAAACACTCCGCTCATTTTTTTCTTCCTGAAGAAAAAAAAATTTTTTTTCCTAAATGAGGACCATCCGGTGACTGACCACACGTAGACTCCTTCCTTCTTTCTCTTTCTTTTTCTCCCGCAACTGCTTAGAGATGGAGGAATCATCTACCTGAAATCTCCCCCTGCCTGCCCTTGGGAGCCTTGGTCCTTTTTCACTTCTCTTAAAAGGTTAATGTTGTCGCTGATGTTTTTATTTTATCCTCTCCCTCCAGCCCACCTATTCCCTATTTTGGGCTTAGGGAGGCTTCACTGAAAATCCGGTAAAAATGACTTGTCTTGTCCAGCCTGGCTGGGAGAGTGTTGGTGTTAGAAATCAGGCCCGGAAGCCAACCTTGGTAATTTAGATTTGGGATAGAAAATCAGAGGGTCTCTGGGCTTAGTTGCTGGTAGGTGGAAACTCCTCCTATCCACCTGCAAGGGTCCCAGGACTAGGGATGGGCAGAGACCTTTAAAGTATGGTGGTTAGAGAGTTGCTTTTTGTTTTGTTGATGTACTTGTTAAAGAAATTGATATTATTCTGATTTGTTCACTAGGGATGCAAGTATTCTTCAGACCTAGAGAGATGAATGGGGAGTCTGGGTGCAGAAGAGGTTTCTGTGAACCCTTCTCCTCACCCTGTGAGGGCCCTCAGCTTTCACAGTCTAGGACGCAGTTCCCTTCAGCTCCATCCTCAGTCTCCCAGCTTAGTAAATTCAGTGGTTACTGGCAGGAAGTCCCTTCAGAAACTCCAGCTCCCTCAGGTTTCCCAGATCCTCATTTTGGTCCCACTGCCAGCAACCCTAGCAGGTGGCTGAATGAGCAAGTTTAAACCGAGAGAGCCTGCCAGAGCTATAGGGAGGTGGGGGAAATGGGGTTCCTCCTCACACTTTACCCATTATCCCCCTTTTCTGGCCCCAGGAGGTATGGGAGGTTGGGAGGGGCCGGAATATCATCTGGCTGCATCTTTTATGGTTCCTCATTGCCCTTCATTCGGAAATGAAACGCCTTTGATCTTTTTCTCAGGTTGTAAACGGAATTGCCCATCATTAAATATCCGGGGCCCCATCTGCTTGGTCTCCCAGCATTTTTCTTTACAGCTGTTTCTCTCTCTTTTTACCATTGAATTTTTCTAAAAGGACTTTTATGACCACCCCCCTTCACACCCAGCCGCCTCTCCCTCTTCCTTTTGCTGAGAGGTGCCTTGGAAAATATCTAGATATTCGTTTGATCGAAAACTAAAGGCTGCAAGGAGCACGGAGTTACCGATTGGGGTTTTGTTTCTTTTTTTTAAAAAAAAAAAAGTCCTGGGGGGAGGGGAGGGGCGCGAGGGCACCCAGAAGGGCCTGATTCTGACTACGCCGCAGCCTCAGGATGACCCTTCCTCCTTTTGTGCTTAGCTAATGTTTACATCTCATAATTCATGCGCCGCCGAGTTGCGCAGCGGCCCCAAGGTTCGCGTCCCTTTGCTGGACCGGCAGCTTCTATTTCTCTCTAATAGAAGAGGAAGAGAGTTGAAAACCTTGTAATCCCAGGAATGGAATCGCAGTGACTTTTCCTGCTCCCAGACCTCAGAACTTGAACGAAACGAAATAAAATCGAAGCATTCAAACCACACGCCAAAAGGAGGACGCATGGAAAGTAGGAGAACTGGAAAATTTCTGGGCCAAGAAGATCTATCTGTCTTCTGTATATACCCTGTAGATCCGAATTTGTGTAAGGAATTTTGTGGTCACAAATTCGTATCTAGGGGAATATGTAGTTGACATAAACACTCCGCTCATTTTTTTCTTCCTGAAGAAAAAAAAATTTTTTTTCCTAAATGAGGACCATCCGGTGACTGACCACACGTAGACTCCTTCCTTCTTTCTCTTTCTTTTTCTCCCGCAACTGCTTAGAGATGGAGGAATCATCTACCTGAAATCTCCCCCTGCCTGCCCTTGGGAGCCTTGGTCCTTTTTCACTTCTCTTAAAAGGTTAATGTTGTCGCTGATGTTTTTATTTTATCCTCTCCCTCCAGCCCACCTATTCCCTATTTTGGGCTTAGGGAGGCTTCACTGAAAATCCGGTAAAAATGACTTGTCTTCAGTGTGCGAAGGCAAAGGAAATTTGCTTTTCAAACGGATGCAGAGGTCGCCTTTCCGTTTGGGTTCAGAACAAGATGCCTTGGAAACACACGATTACCAAGGGGTGTTATTGTGTGGGGATCAACTCCTGTCTCCTATCCTCAGCATCACAGGGATGTGAGATTTCTGCTCGCTGCGCGGGCGGCCGCATTAGCGGCAATTACAACGTCTCGACGCCCGGTTAGCGTTGCTCCGGTGCTTTTGGAATTAGCAAATTTCTATTCAACGCGCTCTCAAAAGTTGGAGGTTTTTTACTCTAGTGCTCATGTTTAGTGTGGGAAACCAAGTCGTTTCTCCCGGCTTGGCCCGCGTGGGGTACGGTGAGGAGGGGATAGGAGAGGGAAACAGACGGACTGACTAACACAGCCAAACTAATAGCGCAGCTAAATGCGATTTGGAAGGCGAGGTCTCCCCGAATTAGTGCATGAATTTCCTATCGATCCGCCCGCGGTTCCATTCATCTCTGACAAGTCCCTCCGTGCACCCGCCTGGTTGCTCCGATGCCTGCTCTCTCACTCCCTACCCCTCCCCGTGCGGCTGCAGAGAAAAGGCCCACGCTCAGTGCCTCTCCCCCGTGTGGGTTCCCCTCTCAAGCGGAGCCCCTAGTCCGCCCCTCACTTAACTCCCCCGCACAGACGTCGGGTAAAGGGGCTCCCCCTCGCCACGTCGTGAGGAGGGGCTGGGGCCCTAAGGAAGGCCTGGGGGCAGTGAGGCAGGACAGGAGGGGCCCCACCCGAAGCCCCAGCTTCTGAGGGGATCCAGGGATTGCGCTCCGCCCAGCGCCCCAACAGGCCCTCGGGTGGCAACCTGCTCACTCGCTCTCCATCTCCCTCCCTCCCTCTCCCCAATCCGGGTGAGGAGAAGCGAGGAGGCGGTCGCCCCGCAGGAGCCCTATGTAAATCCTGGTGTTGGGTTGGGGGGGGGAGAGAAGAAGGGGAAATAAACCTCTTTGGCTGGAGTAGGGTCCGGGTGAGCAGATTTCCTTATCCGGGAATCGCAGGCGGGGCGGCCATTGGCTCCGAGGATCACGTGGGCCCCTAACTTTGTTCACTTGACAGTAAGTAGGAGGGCTTTCGGAAACAGGAAAACGAGTCAGGGGTCGGAATAAATTTTAGTATATTTTGTGGACAATTCCCAGAAATTAATGGCTATGAGTTCTTTTTTGATCAACTCAAACTATGTCGACCCCAAGTTCCCTCCGTGCGAGGAATATTCACAGAGCGATTACCTACCCAGCGACCACTCGCCGGGGTACTACGCCGGCGGCCAGAGGCGAGAGAGCAGCTTCCAGCCGGAGGCGGGCTTCGGGCGGCGCTCCGCGTGCACCGTGCAGCGCTACGCGGCCTGCCGGGACCCTGGGCCCCCGCCGCCTCCACCGCCACCCCCGCCGCCCCCGCCACCGCCCGGGCTGTCCCCTCGGGCTCCCGCTCCGCCGCCCTCTGGGGCCCTCCTCCCGGAGCCCGGCCAGCGCTGCGAGGCGGTCAGCAGCAGCCCCCCGCCGCCTCCCTGCGCTCAGAACCCCCTGCACCCCAGCCCGTCCCACTCCGCGTGCAAAGAGCCCGTCGTCTACCCCTGGATGCGCAAAGTTCACGTGAGCACGGGTGAGTGCGTGGGCACCCCTTCCCCCTCCCACCCCTGGCGCTTTACACCAAAGGGACCTCGAGGCATGCGGGGGGGGGGGGGGGACCTAGGGAAACCCAATTGTCCCCGCTATAAACTCGCCATTGCCGGAGATTTACGGTCGCCTGTTTTCAGAGCCACATAATTACATCCCCCATAAATTTTTATGGCCTGGTGGGCCCCGCGCCTTTGAAGTCGGTTCCCCATCCTCTTTGCCATTCTCACCAGCGACTTTTTCGCCAGGGAGATGCAGTCTCAGTGAAATTGGAAATTGGGGAGGGGTGTAAGGGGGGGGAGGAGGTAATCTGTATTTAAGTTGAGAGTTGAGTCAACTCCCTGTATTTATTTTTTTCCTTTCTTTCCTCTAGTCTGGCTCCTTGGCTTGAGAAGCGGGCAAAAGTTTTTACTGGGGGCAGGCACTGCTTGGAATCTGAGCAGAGAGGGTGGGAACTAACAGAAGAAAGGTTTAATGAAGCCTCCTCCCTCTTTCACCCCTCATTCTCCCATCCCGGGCCCCAGGCCACGTGCGGGGAGAGAGGAGCGATTAAAACCTTGTGAAGATTCCTCACTCCCCCCAGACACCCAAACAACAACGTCGTGACCACACAATCCTCCAAAACTTAGAGGTCTCTTTCTCTTCCTGGGGTCCCGCTTTCTCTTTCATCCCCACCCCCTCTGGAGGGAGAAGAGGTGGCGGGAGAGGGAGGGAGGGAGACACTGTGTTAGCTGGAAGAAAGGGCTCTCCCTCCTCCTTTTCGGGGCAATAAAACTTTCTCTTTCTCCCTCTCTTTGTGTGTGTCCAGTAAACCCCAATTACGCCGGCGGGGAGCCCAAGCGCTCTCGGACCGCCTACACTCGCCAGCAGGTCTTGGAGCTGGAGAAAGAATTTCACTACAACCGCTACCTGACGCGGCGCCGGAGGGTGGAGATCGCCCACGCGCTCTGCCTCTCTGAACGCCAGATTAAGATTTGGTTCCAGAACCGGCGAATGAAGTGGAAAAAAGACCACAAGTTACCCAACACCAAGATCCGCTCGGGTGGCACGGCAGGCGCAGCCGGAGGGCCCCCTGGCCGGCCCAACGGAGGCCCCCCCGCGCTCTAGTGTCCCCCACGTGGGAGCCGCGGACCTCGGGGCGGGGGGGGGTTGCGAGTGCG